AGTTCAAGATCAGCCTGGGCAACATGGTGAAACCTCGTCTTTATATTTAAAAAAAAAAAATTATATTTATAAAACATAAGTTCATAGATATTTTAGTAAGATCACTGTACTACTTATTTTGAAATAAAGAAAAATTTACAAGAAATGCTTGATTCACTATAAAATACAATCACACGTGTAATTTAATTAATATAGTAATTGTAAAACACAAAAGACCACCTATTTTACAAGTGATTTGTTCAAGCTGCATAATACACATAATGCAATGTTGCTTTGAAGAGAAATAAAATGTTGTGACCTATTATCAACACTGACCAAATTTAATCCCAAAGATCCAGTGAGTAGATAATTCATACTGTTAACAAAAGGAATAAGATTACTCTGCTTACCCTCAATATGGTTACAGGTAGAGAGTATAAAAGAAGACAGATGGACTTAGATAATTAGATTAACTAAACTCACAACTTAGTAGATACAGAATTTCTAAACCTAGAGAACTGTTCTGTCCCTTAATTTAATCCAGCTCGGGTAATAAAAGCTTACAGAGTTTACCAACATATATCTATAAGTATTTATTATAGTTTAAGCTTTAAGAGGCAATATGTTAAAAGTATTTTAAAAATCAGAATAGTCACTCCTTTCTGTCTACAAATAAATAGCCTGTTGTTTCTCCTTCATCTTAGTCAAGCCTTTTCTGTCTGGTTTCTATTTGACCTAGAAGGAGAGCTGCTCTGTAGTTTTTAATATCCTCCTATCTCTTCCTCACGCTGATTTTTCTCTTTCCTCCTTAACATTTGCCTTACTTCACTAACAATAGACTACAATCATCCAGAATTCTTAGATTAAAAAATTCAAAGTTTTCAGAAATAGATGAAGATTTCCCAAAATGAGTCTGCTATTATCTCAGTGCTTTTATAAAGAGCTTCTGATATATACTTAAAGAATAAATTTCTCTATACTCACAAGATTTCCTATGTTTCTGGATGATTACACTTTGGCAACATGCTAAAAGCAGAGATGTGTATGGTACAGAAAATAGATCTAAATTAATACCGTCCACAGTAGTGGACCTGAAGCTCACTTTCTTTAAAAAGCTTCCAAGTCACCTATAAGCTCTGGTCATTGTCGCTCCATAAAAATGGAGTAACAGACAAGTAGCTGCAGATGCTACTTCTAGGCTTTTATTGATAGCCAATTAATAAAGAATCTTTCCTTTCTGAAGTATTCTTCTAGAAAAGAAGATTCAAAAAGGCTAGTTCAGGCCGGGCGCGGTGGCTCAAGCCTGTAATCCCAGCACTTTGAGAGGCCAAGGCGGGTGGATCACGAGGTCAAGAGATCAAGACCATCCTGGTCAACATGGTGAAACCCCATCTCTACTAAAAATACAAAAAATTAGCTGGGCAT